TTATAAGTTGACCTATATAGATCACGTGGAAGTAGTTTGCAGCAAGGAGCGGTTTCATAAGCGCTGACCACGGCATCCCGCTGTGTCAATCAATTAACTTTTGATAAACGCGTTATCCAGGAGGAAACAACACAAGTGAATAAATGCACTGCATTACGTTGTTGAACTACATCACATCTTAGAAAAAATACTTTAAAATGCCTTTTTATACATTTTTCACAATCATTATTTTTTTTTTAGGAAATTAATGTGGCATATAAAACAATTAAAAAAGAGCTGAATTAAAAACATTTGTGTTTAATTTTTTTCCTTAATATGCTTTAAAAGATATCACCTAGTATTAATAACAAACAAACAAAAAAGTAAATACTAAATGTATATTTTTTAAGAATTGAAATATATAGAGATATTTGTTGTTTCTATAACGTTTTAACAACGTTTTCCAAACATTTTAAGACAATGTTATATTCATGTTTTCTGGTATCATTTGTAATCGGAATTTATAATAAATTTCATTCAATTTAAAAATAGATATTCTTAAAATTTGAGTCAACGTACACAACACACTGTGTATATTCTTAATATCATATTATGAGTTTTTAGAATAGTTTTTCTCAAACAATGGAATATGAAAACATTTTTTATAATGCTTTTTAAGCAATAAAAAAATTCTTATTATAATTATAAAAATGTGGTGCAAAAATGTTTTCTAAAAACTTCCTTCCAACCAGTATTAAACGTTATGAAAAACATTTTTAAAATGTTTTTGAGAAACGTTTTCTAAAAACGTCATTATAACCTAGATAAAACGTTATAAAAACATTTTTCAAACGTTATGTCAAAACGTTTTGGAATAACATCTTTACAACCGGAATATAATGTTATGAAAACGTTTTGTGCTACCTGGGTAGTTTATTTAATGCCCATGAGCAGAGAAGAAGAATTTCAAAAAAATTATGCATTTTCACTATACATTCTATATAGCCCCGCCCTAGCACAAGAACCCCTGACCCTGGGGCCATGAAACTTACGATTTTGGAAGAAGCAGCCATATTCAACATAACTGTGCACTTGGTTAGTTTAATTAATGCGCATGAGCAGAGAAGAAGAACTTCAAAGAATTTATGCATTTTCACTATTCAATCTATAAAGCCCCGCCCTAGCATAAGAACCCCTGACCCTGGGGCCATGAAATTCACAATTTTGAAAGAGGCAGCCATATTCAACATAACTATGCACTTGGTTAATTTATTAATGCCCTTGAGCAGAGAAGAATTTCAAAATATTTATGCATTTCCACTATATAATCTATATAGCCCCGCCCTAGCACAACATATGTACCGGTAGAACCCCTGTCCTTTGGGCCATGAATTTCACAATTTTGGTAGAGAACTCAATGCTGATTACGATCATACCAACAGTTTGACTGCTTGATGTCCAGGAGTAAAGAAAAAGATTTTTAAAGATTGCACTAAACTGAGAGGTTTTGGTCCCACCCCCCAGGCCCTAGGGGGGCAGGGACCATGAAATACACAATTTTTGTTCCACTTCACCTATAGATGCTATATGCCAAAATTGGTTGAAATTGGTTCAGGGGTTTCAGAGAAAAAGCTGAAAATGTTCAAATGTTAACGCACGTCGACGGACGAAAACGGATATCAATAGGTCATCTGAGTTTACCCAGGTGACCTAAAAAATCATATCGCTTTCATTAATTAACGGTGATTATGAAATAGCGTAAGTGCATCCCCCTGACTGAATTTGTTGAATTATTAAATGTATACATGTATACTGAATCAAATAAAATATGTCAATTTGGATATAAAAGTTTGATTGCTTATGTGTATAGAAGATTCTTTTTATATGGAATATTTATCACACTGTAATGATATTATGAGTTTGTACAAGCTAGACCTCATAATTTTTTTCATTTCACATGCTGAATACTATCATTTAGTAAAAAAAAAATGGATCGTCCTGGAATCGAACCCGGGAACTCTCACATGTGAAGCGGGAGACATACCACTATACCACGGAACTGCTGTACTTTGACAAAAATTATATGCAAAGATAAAGACACATACATGTATATATTCACGTTCTGTATTGTAAAAATTTTACACAATGCATGGTGTATAATTTAACCTTTATTAAAAAGTTCTAATAGATGTAAAATATAAAGTCAGCCGAGAACCTTTTTCATACGGAATAACTCTCCTTCATGTCCCTGTGCTAAAAATAGCGACATGTAATACAATAAATACTAATAAAACAAACGGGGCGGGGCACTTTGAGAGGGGTGAGAGAGGTCATAGGGACTTTTGGTATAAAATTACATTGCAAAAGCTCAAAATCCTCTTGAAATATCGCCCGAAAAAGATAATGTTGCACACAAACAGAATGTATATATTTATGACCTTGAACTTTAAACTTTGGACCTCAAAATCAATTCTTAAGCCACAGGGAGTTGTTCTGTAAAATTTCATTGCAAAAGCACAAAGGGTTCTCGAGATATCGCGCGGAAACGAAAGTGTTATAACAAACAGAATTTGCGAATTTATGACCTTGACCTTTGGACCTCAAAATCAATAGGGTTTTGTTTTAGTCCATAAGGAGTTGCTATGCAAAATTTCATTGCAAAAGCTCAAAGGGTTCTCGAGATATGGTGTGGGAAACGTAAGCGTTACAGACAGACAGAATGACGGACAGACCCATTAATATCCCCCACTTTTCAAGCGGGGGACAAAAATTTATACCCCATGAATGAGAACATCCCAAGCGACAAGACATATTTGATCTGCTAATGTCCCACCTTGGGTTTGAAAGCATTTTGTTTGACTGCGTGCTTTAAATCTATAAAACAATTTTAAACTCATCATTGTTAAAAATTAACGCTGCAAAGCTGCATTGACTCCTACAGAGATTTTCGTACCATTACAATCATTTATTAGAGCGAAACTTCCGTAATCATGTAATCTTAGCCTCGAGTGACAGCTGTTCCATCGTCATGCGCTCGGCAGTTGAAGTGAAAGTTGCGGATCTTTCGTATGAGACATTAAAAACCGAGGTCCCGTGTCACGCAAAGTATTGGCACGATAAAGATCCCTCACTGCTTAATGACTCTGAGTGCCGACCTTGTACATTGTAGGTTACCTTAGTATGATGTACATTTGTAACAACTTTTCAACAACTGAAGTTGGCTTTTTTTTTAACCAGAGGCCATGAAATTCACAATATGTAAAGAGGCATCATTACGTATCATAACTACACAATCATGTATATACTGTAAATCTGGAAATTTTTACGTCGATTTTATTTTGCGAATTCGGGTCAAAATGCTGTTGATTAATTTTTACGTTTCAAAATTTTGCGAATGACCGCTGCTTTGTTCACATTTTCTTATTGTAATTTATTTTTAAGAGAAATATTTTTGCGAATTCAATGAACTCGCAAATTAGCTAAAAATTTATCTACAGCAAAAATTTCCAGATTTACGGTACTAAGCACGCTTACTTTGGTTACTTAGCACCTAGAGGTAGATGAAAGTAACAAAAAGAAAATGCATTCATTTTCCACTTTATAACCAGTTGTGCATCCCAACACACAGGAACCACTGACTCAGGGTCACATATTTCAAGATTTTGGAAATTTTATCATAAATTCTTTTTCATCATAAAAGGTTGATCAATACCAAAGAGGAGAATTCAAAGCATTTATTTTCGGACTCTGTTACCCCACCCCACCCACGGTAACCCTGATCCTGGGGCCCTGAAATTAACCATTTTGGAAGATTGATTGTATATTGTTTAACGTCCCTCTCGAGAATTTTTCACTCATATGGAGACGCCACCACTTGCCCATGGAGGGCTAAAAATTTTGTCCTATGCTCGGCACTCAGGGCCTTTGAGCAGTGAGGGATCTTTTTCGTGCCAGCACCTACTGCGACACGGGGCCTCGGTTTATACGGTCTCATCCGAAGGACCGGTCTCCACGTCCCGCAGTGGGATTCGAACCCGCGACGTAAGGATTGACTCCTTACTTCGCGACTCTAGAGCAGACGCTCTAACCACTGCGCATCGCGGGCGACCCATTTTGGAAGAAGCGCCTTTCTTCGTCATAAATATGTAAGTAGGTCATTGCAATAAAATCATTAGAGCCCGTCCTAACACCAGCACCCTGACCTAGCGCTCCTGAAGTTCTCAAATTTGGAGTAGGCATTCTTCCTCATCATAACTATGTACATACATGTAGTTCATTAGGTTATCACCCAGGTGAAGAGGAGATTTTTAAAGAATTAATGCATTTGATTTTATTCAACACAAATACGTACTTCGTTAGGTTATTAAATACCAAGGAGCAGAGAAAATTTTCAACGAATTTGTGCATTTTCACTAGCAGTACAGTTATTAAGGCTACACATGAAAGTAATATGGTAATGAGGTTTTACGTCATGACAGTAGCTCCGCCCTGATTGATCCATATAAGGAAATAGAGCTCAAAATAATTATTTACTGATATTTGCAAGAATTTGTAACAAACGGCAATTTTTTCTTGATTAAATAAATAATTATGACTGATTTTCCGTTATATATATATACAGTGGCTGCAACGTTAATTATTGTTGACAACTCACACGCACGATCACGTTACACGAACGATTCCGCACGATAATATCTGCTACACGAACGATCCTTTACGCACACGATTCTACACATGTCACGATCTTACACGATTTCTAAAGCAAACGCACGATTCTTTACGCAAAATGGTTTAAAATAATTTCGAAACGAAAGAAGGCTTTAAAGTTAAAATAATTGTTTTTATTATTTCACTGAAAAAGTCATATTATTAGATGGATTATATTCCTCGACCCATATTGGTGTATTATGCAATAAAAAGTTGTTTATTTATTTGCTCAACACTAAGTATTAGACAGGATTATTAAAGAGAATAAATATACTTAGCTAAAGTCGATAACATCATATCCGCTCTTCATTGTA